ATTATAGAAATTACACACTATTTTATAAAAGATTTGAAAAAAAAAAAACATATATATCTGGTAATTCAGTTAAATATCTAAATCATCCAGTCTTATTTCTTAAATGAAAAAAGAGTCTAAGATTTATTTCAAAAGTAAGCTCATTATCTCTCTTTTCCCGATTTTTCGCTCTTTGTAAGAAGCGGAAGTGTCCGTCACACATTGTCCCCTGCACATATTGTCTCCGTCCAAATTTAATGTATAACTGCACTGCACTGCACACATTTTTACCAAAAAGCATAAGACCAAGGAAAAAATATTGTAGCCGATGAATGTGTCATCAAGCTTGTGTTATTATAAACATTCCCAGTTATTGTTCAGAATTAGGTTATGTCCAGAATATTATATCCACCGACGGACCGGATATTTTTAGCAACATCCCCACCGTTTGATGAATCATGATAATACATAAAGAGAGGAAAGTTGAATGTATGAAAAATCTTTTCCGTTTGATGATGACAAAATTATCCATTCCAGAATTCTGTATTATAAAATAAATCGCGAACAAAGCAAAACACGAACCTTGCAAATGGCAGAGGTTACATCAGATATCTAGAAGATGTTAGCAAAATATGAATCGTGAACAGGGCAAAACCAAGGTAAAAACAGGTGCCTAGGAGAGAGAATTCCAATGGCTTCTTGGAGGGCATTGTATCCAAATATAAAAGCAGTCACAGGATAAAACTGCACCTTTCAGTCAACTGAATGGTCACTGAAAAGTCTGGAAAGGTCACTGAATGGCAGAGCTCTGTCATTCAGTAGCCTTTCAGCAATCTTTCAGTCACCTTTAAGTTAACTGAATGGCAGGGCTTTATCCTGTGAGTAAGCTTAAATAAGGCACTCTTTATTCGTGGTAACCTTATTTAGGCGTAATTCCGTGATACTGTATGCTTGCATTTTTTTCCCCTGGCATATAATTGTATTATTAAAGATCATATAAAACAATAACCAGCTTGTGAAAATTTTGTCCTGCTTATAAATTCAGTATTAATCTCTTATGAAAATATCGGGTCGTGAAAAGCTTTTGTAATTTAGAGTATGTAGTCCAAAAGTCTGACCTTTAATTTATCGAGTGGAAAATTTTTACAGGTGTTGTAAAGTCACAGGTTTCTATGTTATTGATATTTGACAATTTCTATATATATGGCTTAAAATTTTATCATAAATGTTTGTGAAAAAGTGGTTTTAATTTGTAATTATTTTTTCTCTACAGATCAAGAGTAGGGAAATAAGTCAGTAGACGCAAAATATGAAGGAATTTAGTGGGAAAGAAGATTATTACTTGGACTATGTAACGAAAACTTTATTTTGTTTCTCTAAAAAATGATAATCATTATATCATTTGAAAATGTTTGTTTTATTTGTAAAAAAAAAGTCATAATTTACTCAAAATTCACCCTGGCAAAAGGTAAAAAATTGAACAAATATATGTGGTCATTCCATACTTTTAGTTTAAATGGTGAACAACAACTTAATATTATAACTTTGTATCATTAGAAAGCAGGAATTTAATCATTTAATATGAGCGCAAATATAAATGATTTCATTCTTCAAAAAAAAAAGATGTTTATATTGTATATGTTAATAAATTGTCTATACATATTATGTTCTATATATCATTTTTTTTATTCAGTTAGTGATACATGTATAAATGTTGATGCAAAGAATTAATTGTTGATACCTACATCGTAGTTACATTTCCGTTAATTGAAATAATTTATTTACAATGTTGAAAATTGCTTATTAGGATATAAATGTAAACAGAAAGTTCACTCAGTGAAATATATAGAAATAATTAGATGATTTCTTAACAGAATCAGTTCAATCTAACAATGTCTATCATATTTTCAAAATGAAAGAAAAACAAAATAGCATATATCTCACTGCAGAGACAAAAATTATACATATATGATTATGCAAAGTATATAAATCAATTAATACAAGACATCCTTGTCATTTTATTCAAAGGAAGAAGTCGATGGTGAAGATTATGAACAGGTAAAAACTTGTCAAAAAATCTTCTAAAATATAGAAATGATTTGATATTAACCGCGTAAACAAGATGTTTTATTATTACTATTATTATAAATACTATAATTTATGAACACTAAGTTTCTTCTGCTCAAAGCTTCAGATGCAGTCCAGAGAAACACGAAATATTGAACAAATAAGCGTCTTCGGAGACTCTATTCAATACAATGCTCCGAAAAGGTCGAAGAAACCAGTTCTGGTGGTACTCTTTATCATCGTTCTCGTCCTCGGACTTGCAACTACGACTTCATTACTTTTTCTTGAGAGAAGTAAAACAAATGGTAATTTATAGTAACGTTTAATTGTTTTAGAGGAAAGAAACTCCTACGGCTATTTAAAAAACTAGTATAAAGTGATTCCATGTATGTAAACAAATTAAACCACAGTTACATTTATCACATCTTTAAAATAAGTCCCACTCGCTTGTGAACCAATACTCATGTCAAAAATTTCCACATTGTTGAAATACTTCACAGTTTGCCTATAAACTATTTCCCTTTATTCAAAACACAATTGACCTCAGCAAAAAGTTCTATTTTTAAATAGTCAACAATAATTTTTATTCAAAACATTTACAATATCATTAGTTATGCGTTTCTTGATTTTATGCGGAATACATTCTGAAAGGTTGTGCAGAGTGAGATATCCAAAGAACAAATCAGATAAAATATCATAAATTTAATTACTGTATTTTAGCAAAGCATACCGAGTACAATGTATAAATGTCCGCACAAAATTATGCCAATGTCAGCCTCATTTTATTTTATATAAAATGTTTGAGTTAACATTACTGATTCCCATTTTTATTTTGTTTATTCTGAATAAAACTTTGAGATGTTTTTTTTTGTATTTCGACCACATTAACCCCCCCCCCCCCTCCGAATCTGGAAGAGAATATAGCTTCATTTCCTCAAATGTGAATTTCCGTTACATAAGTGTGCTTTGTGTAGGTTGAATGACATTGAGACAGTTGCACTGGAGAGGACATACTCAACATTTATGTTGACAAACGACAAAAGGACATATGACAGACAGATATACTAACATGCGGAAAAACGAACATCAAACCATTTTCATTAAAAAGAAAAAGAAACTACATGTACCTGAGCATTATCAGGTGGGCTAAAATAACAACAACAAAAAACCAAAACCTATTTCACTTCATATTTGTAAAGCTGATTTAAAACATACATTCAAACACATTTTGAATGTTACCATATCCAATATTTCAGTCATAGTTGATGCTAAATGTGGATAAAATTTTATTTATATCTCCTGTATTTATTCTCATTTGAAACATGTTAATTACATGTTTGCTAAATCCAAAGAAAAGACTGAGGATAAAATACTAGTAACATTAAAAGTATTGATTTCCAATAAGATATTCACACGAAGCTGCTTGATCTATTGTTGAAGATCTTATCAACTCCAACTATCTCAGTAACCATAGAGATCTTTAGTGTGATGAAATAGACAGGAATTCTGCATGTTAATGACTAAAGCTTTCATCATTTAATTTCAATTCAAGCCTTTTAATACCATATTTCGACTTTCACTGACTTTAACTGAAACCATCAAAGATATCTCTTAGCAGATTTGATAAAGTATCGTTTCCATTAATCACGTGAAAAGAATAATTCAATAAATATACATGTAGAAGCAAACTTGCCAAGTGAGATCACATTTTAAAAAGAGTTCTAAGATGATACTAGTATCTAATGGGATGCAACTTTCTTTCTTAACTAACCCTTTATTAACAATACCTGCGAGCCAGCATTGCATGTCAACCTAATGTTCCCTATCAAATGCTAATAATTATGTTTGAGCCAAAAAAACTCAATGATCAATAATTTAATTCTGGTTGTAACGCACAATTTGATTGACAAAAAAAAGTTGATATAACCTGTGTTGCCTACGTCACAATGACTTACGTCAAAAACGTATCAATCCGATTGACGTTACATTTTAAATTACAATTTGAAGGTATTTTTGAAGGAGCAATTCTCCTGTTTTCTACACTTAATGATGGGAAATTAAATTATAAGGAATGAATTTTATAGCAATCAAAGTAATGATGGTATAACCTGGGTTGAAGCAGTTTACGTTTTTCTTTTCTTTTTTTTTTTTTTTTACTATATAAACCGCTTTGCAGTTTTCAAAGCGTCAACTGCCACTAACCACGTTATACAGTATAACTTGCATAGCTATTAAATTCATCCCTTAAATAACAGTTTGCATACCTACATTAATCTATCATTCGAATTGCACATGTTATATTTATTTAATAGATATTTTTAAGATATGTGCCTTCTTGTTTTATAGATAAGATGGAAATGTTTACCTTAATAAAAGAACGTATGCTCACAGAACACACATAAATCTTTTTTTTTATGCACAGACAAGCAACCACCTAAACCATTGGCAATGGATGAATTTCGTAACAAACCTTGCAGAAGCCAGATATCAAAATCAACAGATCAAAGAAGGACAGGTTTAGGTAAAATTTGTTATTTTAGAGAATTTCGACCTACATACAACGAACGTTTTGTTTAAAAATCATATCTATTGCAGGAAGCAGAGGGCAAAGTTTTCTGGTCAGTTTTATCCAAAATCACAACGACGGAAATGAAACAAACCGAACAATTATTGTGTCATCAGAAACTGATTTCAATTTAACAATTTCACTGCCAGAGAGTCAGAGTTCAAATTTAATATCTATTTCAAGTCGTAGAAGTAAAACTGCAACCTTTAAGAAGTTAAATGTACACTATTCTCTGGTTCCCTCCTACTTTACCACTGAATCTAAAGCTATCATCATAAACACCTCTGTGACGTCATCTGTATTGTCCTTGTCGGAATATCATGTATCATCAGACACGACAACGGTCTTCCCGATAGACAAGCTTTCAACGTACTATATCATATCAACAATGACACCGTCAGATAATTTTCTAGGGAGTGGAAGTCATTTCACAGTTGCTTCAATGAAAGACAATACCCTTGTTAACATAGTGTTTGCTGCTGATCATGACATAAAGATAGTGCTACAGGGAAGAAGTTATGGGAGAGGTGATACATTCAATATCATTTTGAACAGGTATCAAACATTTCAAATTGGACATAATGCTGATATGACAGGGACAACGATCCGTTCTTCTAATCCGGTCGCGGTCTTTGCAGGGAATAGGTGTATTACTGTCGGGTACCATGGGTACTGCAGCATGCTTATGGAAATGGTTCCACCAACTGAAGAACTAGATAACGTATTCATCGTTCCACCAAATATTCATAGATTCCAATCGCATGTACGCATTTCCTCGGTTGTAAAAACGGATATTAAATATACTACCAAAGAAATCACAACGAGGACACATCTTTTGAAAAATCGGTTTGCTGAATTTATCGTTCGCGAAAACGAAGTGGGCGTTATATTTTCTACCAAACCTGTTTTAGTGAACAGTATTGCTGTATCTTCAACCAAGGCTAAAGTATATGGCGATACATTCATGTTGACGATCCCTGGAATTAATCAGTATCTCAACACATACACCAATTTCGTGCCTACTGGATATAATTTTAGCTTTGCTATTTTTGTAATAAGAAACGATTCTCTGAGAAATCTTCAAATCAACGGAACAAACATCGATGTAGATAGCTGCCTTTTTCATTCGTCCGTTCTAGTTGGAATGGATCTATACAATGTTTGTACCGCAAGTGTTCCAAGTGGAGTAATTAATGTAGAAACCTCTGATGGGTCGCGATTTGGTTTTATCGTTATTGGTCAAAGCAAACATGATGGTCATGGCTACGCTGGAAATGCATTGTTGACCACTGACTGTGAGACTTAACAACAAATATTTTTTTTTAAATGATGAATTTCTCCTTGAAAAGCCGAATGAGGTATATGAGATCATCCCTCGACAAGGACTTAAATAATTAACACACACAGTGGAACTTCTTAGAAAAGTTCATGTAGGAAAGAGATTATTTGAATTTATTTGATATATAAACTATTTACGCTATTTGTAAATTTATTTTCTTCTTTGAAACTCAAGTATAGTTTTGTTTCGAATGTTTTTAATTCAATTCTTGTTTGTTCTTTTTTCATGTGCACCATTATAAAGGAGTAGATTCAAATATATTATAATCTATATGTATTCAATCCGTTGATGTTATTTTTTATGATCTTCAGTTGTAGTCTTATCAAATGTTTTATTATTTATGTAACTAGAAATTTCATGCATGCATGATTTATCATATTTATATATTTCTGATATTCCTCTGTTATGTCAACTTCCAGAGGGGGAGTAACTTTATTTCAGAGTGGATAAAGTCTTCCAAAGGTTATAGTGTTATAGGTTAATAATACTGAGGACTATTTTGGCGTTGTGTCTCCATTCTTTTTTTTTTTTTTTTTTTTTGGTAATGGAACTTTTTCATAAATATCTCAGCATATTTTCAGCCTCTTTAGCACAATTCTAAGGGTAACTACTTTCCAGGCAGATTAACCTATGAAACAGTTTTGTCTTAATATTTAACAGTACGTGCGATTTTTTAACAAAAAAAGTCCGTCTTTTATGTTAATGTAAGAAAAGAGTAAAACAAGTATGAAAATGTCACTGGAAATGGGGTAAGTGTGTTACAAGATTTGATTTCCTGTCAACTCTTTTTTTCATTTCCCAATGAAACTGATATTTATTTCATCGGTGAATGTGATTTGCATACTATTTGCACAATTCCCATTCTGGAAAACATCAAGCACTGAAAACCAGCATATATTCTCAATTTATGAATTTATAAAAAAAAAAAAAAAAAAAAAAAAAAAAAAAAAAAAAAAAAATAGTAGGTGTACATCTATGTTATTTAAATTAAGTATTTTTTTCTTCAATATGTAAACAAAAGAAATCAATTGAATATGATATTTTCCGTAAAATAATTTTTGGATTTACAGAGATAGTGTATCATATTTGATGGAAGAGCAGTTCTTTTGTCATATCCAAGACGCAGTCTGCGAATCTCAAATTATGGATTGTATCTTCAATAAACAAGACCAATCATCATAGATCTTTTTATACCCAGCCAATGAAAGGAAAGCCCAGGTTTACATTTGGTTTAATGTGTTGAAGAAAGATTTATATGCGAGATTTCAAAATACACTCCTTAGAAGTTTTTGACAGTTTATAGATACATGTAAGTAGAAGAGAGACGTGTTTCAGGTAAGTTGTGCACTCTTTTAAGAAAGAAATTAATATGAGAAAAAAAAATTTTTTTTTTACATAAATAAATACACATTCTCATTCTTAATTTGTATGATTTAAAATTAGCAAATTGGGCTTGAGATCCTGTACTGCGAAAAAGTTCTTTAAATGTATAAGAAAGTTAAATAAATGATCATTTATTTTAAAATTTAACTATGATTACATAGTTAGCTGTACCTGATGAAAATATACATCATTATTGTACTCTTCTGTTTTAAACTTCATCAATGCATTATATATTTTCACACAATTATTTATATCTTGTTGATGTTCTTGTTCATGTGTCTACATGTATGTTAAATACAAACATAATATAAACCTTACTACAAATACTATATTATACTTCTACTTTATTTATTTTTCCAATGAATAGGGTCAGTAAGGATTTAGTTATTATAACTACTGTTTGACATGCTACTCAGATTTGAACTGCAAGACGATTTAGTAAATCGCAGTTGTTTATAACAAACTATTATCTTCAACAAACCAGAAGCGTTGAAACAATTTACAACATACAGGCAACGTATATTTAAGGTCAAGATCTAGTAAATGAAATAGCCTACAGATTCTTTTAATGATCCTTTACAAATATAACTTGATAAAATAAGGTGTATCGGGACATAATTTTTTGGTAAAACATTTTTTAATCTGACATTTTTGATGAAAAAATGAAGGAAATCAGGTATGAATTTCGGAGTTTTTTCCAACTCAGAGAAAGGAAATATATCCAGATTGCCTACAGTCTCCCAGAAAACGGTTTTTCATATCATTTTGACCTCTGCTTTAAAATAATATTAAATTTGATATAGGTATCGGGGTTACTTTTATCATGATTTCAAATTGAATTTCATGAAAATGCTTCATTTTCTATATAATTCTATTACAGCCATAAAGTACGGGAAAAGTTAAGTTTAAATCTATTATGACGTCATAATGGATTTAGGACCAAAAAAAAAGTCTAAACTCATTTACTAGATCTTGACCTTAAAAGAAACCTTAAGTACGTAACAATTTGTAAGCATACGCAATGTACAGTACATAAACCAAGTTTCCCTACAAATGAATATCCGCGACCTTCGTTTTCTCTTGAATGCCCGTAACAAACACCATTTTACTGTAGCAATTCAAAGCTTTTTCAACAGTTCATCAAAATATCTTTACAATGGATTCAATTTTTTTTTTTTTTTTTTTTTTTTTTTTTTTGATTTTCCAATTCATACATGAACATTTGTAATATTAATAAATGATAAGATTACGTGTATATTCATATGTTACTTCAAAACTTTACAGCATCGCTATTATATTTAAGAAAATATAAGCTTTGAAAAAATATTGAAGGAAGTTTTTAACTAAAGTTTCACAGTAAATTAAAGTATCAAAGAATTAACTATAGTTAACTATAGTATACACCATTTACATGCATAGTTAACTATAGTAAATATTTGTTGGGGGTTATCTTATATTAAAAAAAAATGCCTGGTTCATTACAAAATGTACTTTAACGTTTTAATCGTTTGAAAAAAAAAAACATTTTTTTTTTCAAAAAACTGCTTTTTACAAGATATACATGGTTTATTAAATTTTCCCTTCTCCAACTTCAATTCCAAAATATTTTTGTCCTTTTTTTTGCATATTCCAGATCGGTCACGGTACCTAAGTAATAGGGCCGGGAGGCCAATTCGATTCTCGTTCACCTCGCAGGGTCAAATCTAAGGCGTAAAATCCGAGGTCCCAGGTCAGCGTGGGCGTAAGCACAATAAAAAATAATATAGGCCGAGTATTGAGTAAAAAAAAAATATCGAATGGGACGTTAAATAACATACAATCTATCATTTATATAGACTTGTATTTTTATTTTATGAAAATTGTAAATAAAACTGAAGTTCTAGATAGGTGTTTTTTCCTTGTACCTAGATTATAACAAAGACCACAATTAGACTGCTTTCGCAATTTACTAATATACTGTCTTTGTATCCTTCAAGAAGCTATGAAAACTTAAATCATATACGGTACCAATTTTGATGCACCAGATGCGCATTTCGACAAATTATGTCTCTTCAGTGATGCTCAAGCCGAAATCAAAAATATTTAAATAAAAAAGATTTGGAGGAGCTGAAAAAAGGTGCCAAAGACTGTAGCCAATAAATAAAAATCAACTTTTTAAAAAAAATGTTCTTACATTTTTCTTTTCTCCGACATTATAAATGATATCTTCACCTTTTTCACTTTACTAAAAAAATTCAAAGCTATTAAAGCATATACAAGATATGAATCTCAGGTGTATTCTTTGATGATGTTACATCTTGATTCAGAAAAAAATCGACAGTTGGTTATCACAATTTGTTTTATCTTTCTAAATCTAACAATATCTGAGATAAATAATTTATTGGAATCAATGTTATTGTTCATAGGCATAGATAAGTTATTGGACTAAAGTTTTGTTTTGTCATAAAGATAATAAGATGCTTAAAATCGTGTCGTCTCTTTTTCTCCTAATGATGATTAAATATCCTTTTTATCCTTGTTATGCAATTAAAAGAAAACATAAAAGCTCTTATTGAAAATGCGTCAAATCAAATGCGACATTATCATTTACTCATTGCATAAAAACTCGGTACTTTATGAAATTGGGATACAGAGATTTAAAATATATCAAACATAAAAGGTCTTCCAACCAACTTAAATTTATCATTTTTTCTACTCCAGATTAAATGACTATATAAAAAAGGATAATAATAGATCTGGGTTTATATTTGTTCTATCGTCAGTAAAGCAGGTGACCAAATGCTATTTCAAAGCCAGACATTCAAATTATACTGGCATATGTTGATACATGTTTCACGCCTCGAACAAAGGATTTTTGCAATTACCAAATAACTTGGTACACTCCAAGCCCAAGCTTCATGGTTGAGTGACTATGTCATTGTGTGCAAAATTTTTTTCAAACTATTATCATCATTATCAATGATATCTTAAAATGTCCAAGAGACTCCTAAGCTTCTGACTGAAATCCTCTCCAAAAGACATGACTTTATTTTGAATATGCAGAAATGAACCTAATTATGTTTGAAAACTACTCCCTGTGGACCGTCACCTGACCTGTTACAGACAGGTAGATATACACTTAAGGGTATAATTATCACATCTGGGCCTGTACAAAAATGACACCAATCAGAATTAAAACATCAATATCTTGATGGAATAACAAGAAACACACGAGTTGTAATGAAATAGACACAAAGGGTTTAATTTCTCTTGTAAAACATGTTCTAAGTATGTTGTTAAACTTTTCCATCGCCATTCGATTTGATCCCTAGCTTCGTTCCGCACCAAATCTCATGGTACACGGGAAAATTTTTCTAACATATACCTAAAGCTAAACACGACTTGTAAATAAGTAAACACCATATTAATTTTACTATCTCCGATAACAACAGCACTGTGATATATCCTTCACACTCGTTACATGTGACTGCTTTCTTGTCACGGGCACCTGCGTGAAGTTGACGACACGTGTTTGTGCTGGTTATCTTATATTATCTTTCGTTACATTTTATTGTCGTTTACGTGTATTTGTGTTTGTTTTTTAT